AAGGAACCGGCTGCATCTGACCATCCGCAGTAACGTGAAAGGAGTAGGCACTTTTGGAGAAGGGAAAGAAGAGAGGAGGAAAAACAAAACAAAACAAAAAAATCAGCCATTTATAGTTCTATAATGCAAGGAAAAGAAAAGTATTTTTTAATTTGATTTCTTTGCCAATCTTTTTCTTAGGAAAATCAGAGCTACAGTGCCAAGTCATAAAAGGCACATGAAACCTCAGAGGGAAGATTCACAGCAGATATTTTCAGCTTGCTTCACTTAAAGTATACATGCAGCGGGGAAGGACATTACCTTCTACCCTTAACTCCAAGGTTATTGCTGCTATCCCATAGCCACCTGAATAATCAAAAGATCTTTCAGCCCCTGGTTTCTAACCAGCAGTTGCAAGTTTCAGCACTGCAGAAGCAATCACTCACTAAGGCCTACTCCCTCAGACCAGGACTTCCATGAGGCTTGCGTCAGCTGCCTTGCAGTAGCACTAGCTGCAGTTCAACTTCTGCTCTGCACCTCATACTTAACATCAGCACCAGCTGTGCTTACATGCCTCTCTTTCCAGCTGGTAACCAGTGCTTCAAACAGAAAACAGAAACATGTAGAGTGGTTGCACACATCCCTCATCAGAAAGGTGATACCACCTTCTTGTAATTACGTTCTCTTGAATAACTATTTTGGAAAAGCTTCTGTAACATCTTTTATTTGCATTCAGTACATGACTTCAAATATATGGAAACTGAGGGTTGAGGAAGTAAATCCCAATACTGAAAAAAACCCCACCAGTCCTCCTTGGGGAAAAAACACAAAATTATTTCCTCATGTTCACCGTAATGTTCATAGTTGGTTCTACTCAAGGACCAAGGCACAAATAGCAGCTGATCAAGGTTTCAGGCGCAGGGAGGTTTCTTTGGTTTGGTGGGTTGGGTTTTGTTTTGGTTTTTGTAATAATATTGTTGAAAATACTGCAAAAGACTGTTCTTTGTTACACTGGTCAGCTTCTCCG